ACTAAGTAATCTACCCCAAAAAAATGTAACTAAGTAATGTGGTTGGGCCTGTATTTGGTAATATTACTATATGGGCTTTTGATATATTTGTTTGAAGCACGTGAATGAAACGTTGTCGTTTAATTAGCGGATTTGGGTTTGTTTTGAATCTTCGTCGTGTTCGTCACTGAGACTGTGTAGAGAAAAACCCTAAACATTTTCCGGTGAGAGAGATGAGTATCATTCGTAGCGCGATCAGATCGAGTTTGTGTCTCCGGCCATTGGATCCGGTGATAAGTCGTAGCTCTATTCCGGTTCTTCAGGATTGGAAGAAATGCCTGTCTACTGTTACGGAGCAGCCTCCTTCCTCTCCTTTACCACTGCCTCCGGGAAGTTCTCCGATCGCAGGACTTAATAAGCCTTCGGGAGAAGGTTGGGTTTCGATTCCATGTCTATAGTGTTTCTTCGCGATTAGTTATTGGGGGAAGAAAATTCGAGATCACAGATTGCAGTGTTTTATTTGCTTCTAATCTTATTTTGAAGTTCGAGTAGAGAAAGGAACATTGTAATTGTTATTTTGATTGATGTAGAGCGTAGAAGGATTCTGGATTGTTATGGTTCTGGAGCTTTATAAGCTCGTTTATGAAGTATACGATTGGCATGCTTATCTTCTTCATATTAGGAAACCACAATAAGGAAGATTGTGTCTGATAGTTCTTGATCGTATTTTGGTGGTTTCAGGTGGGTTTTATGGGAAATTTTCAGGCTTCTCAAAACATACGTTGAAGAGTGATATTATGAACATACTTGAGGGATGTAATCTGACACCAAATGATCTCAAATTCAGCTATATGCGTGGTGGAAACTTAAATCCTTCTGCAGTGTGAGTATTAGCTTAATTAATGTTACAAATTATATCTCTTTGGAATCAGGAAGTTCGATTCCAAACTAATACATTTTCAATCCTTCAGTTATGTGCAGTTCCCTACCCGTTCTTCATATGATAGTGCACTGCGGGCAATCTCGAGGAAGGGAAAGCTATATAAATTAGAAAGGGTAATCCTTTTTTTACATACTATAGAGTCTGTATTTTTGTGCATCTGACTATTTTATCTGAAAGTTGATTCCTTGTCGATGTTTAGGCTGCTCGTTCCCAGTGGGATCCCATTGTTCCTTATGACGGGAAAGTGGTAAGTTACATTTTCTGTTTATACCTTACTGTGTCTTCTTAGGTAAATTGTGATTTCGCTATTGGTATTTGATGAGATTTTTATATTGTTTAGGTTGCACTACATGGGCTTCCGCCGAATGCTATTATAGATGACATAGATAGGTTCTTATCCGGCTGTCTCTATTATCCTGGATCCATCCAGTTCATGACGATGTGAGTTGAGTCATTATTGGTTTACTACTTATGATTCTTAATACCATGGTTTGGGCTTTGCTTGATCATTCAGTTAGCTATTTAGTTGATACCTATCTCCAGACTGTCATACTTTTTTTTGTCATCTTGTTTTGTTTCATCATCATATCTAGGTGCTCTGCAATTGTCTTGGGTAGTAATTTTTGGATTACTGAAAAACAAGGACATGAAACTCTTTTTAATGCCTTGTTTCACCATGCAGTCAAGGACTCGGAAGTTCTAAGAGGGTGGCTTTGGTGCATTTCACATCACAGACCCAGGCAATGAACGCATACATTACAAAGAACCGGAACTTCCTTCTCAACCAACGAATCACGTTGCAAGTTCTGCAGTAATTTCTTGGTTCCCTTTACATTCTCATGGTGAATTCCAAATGGTAAGACATCCGAAGCATATTGTTTTGCGTCTTTCTTGTTGCGATTATTTTGAGTTTCAAATTTTCTTTCTGCAAACCCCATGATGCTAAAATTAGTTGTTCTCTTTTCTCTGGTTCAGTTTGTAGTTCACAAATAATAAATCACAGTGTCTAAGTAGAAGAAGAAAGTCTCATATAATCAGATTTCAACTATGTGATGTTTTTTTCTAATCTTGTATCATGACTAAAGCTGTTATCTTTGGATGCCCCATGTGATGAAGTGATCTATCTTGCTTTTAGAAAGTGAATGACTTTGTACTATAAGGGTTTGGTGGGCACAACTTTTCACCAGGGCCATAGAAATCGAGCACAGTAGAATGATATTATGAGTTTTTTATTGTTCACTTGCTTCTTTTCCTTAGTGGGTCATCTTTACTTGTAATTGAAGCATCTTGCTATCATATCTTCACGGTATTCGATCTTCTTTTCTGGTTCATTCATGAGTTCCATAGGTTGTTTAGATCTGATTGTTCTAATGCATTGTTAAATTTGTAGATTTGAGGGAAAGTGTAAGTCCTTTTGATACCCTTATGAGCGATATATTCGAGTGTTGGTCACATCTTTAATCGAGGTTCGATAAATTCACTTGCCAAACTCCTATTAGTATCACCAGTACCACTAAGCTATGTGATCAATTTGCTGATTGTTTTTGTTAGATTGGTAAGTTGGATTGGGAGTGAGTGAGGGGTAAAAATGTCAATTTTGTGTCTACCGAAATCTTATTTAGGGATTTGAGCGACATGAGAGTTTGTGAAAGTATGGACAACACACCGGGACATATGCATAGAGACTAGAGTTATAGAATGGTGTGGTCATGTGTATTATTAATCTTGAAAACAACAGTTAAAAGGTAGAAGAAACCATGGATTTAGCCAAAACCTTTTGTTCTTGATATCTTATACAGTTTTGACTTTTGACAATCTTCCTCTTGTTGTGTTGCTTTTTGTTTTGTCATATACAGTAACAGAAACATCTCTTTGTCCTAAGCAACAACATGAGTTTGGTAAATAATCTTATCGGATGATCATTTGGTATGAATGATAGGTTTGTGTGATTTGTGTTGTGAAAGTTGACAAATTCCATAAGGACAAGTAGATTAATATAAACAAGCCTATCCAAGTTATTACTCTACTCCACACACTCTTGTCTGGTCCCAACAGTCCCACATGATCAAATTCTCTATGAATCATAGTAAACGTAATTAAAACGCCGTAATATCAATAATGGCATTAACCAAAGATATAGTCTCTTTAGCTTCTCTATAGAATAAAAAATCGAAGTTAGAAGATTTAGTTTAAGTGTAAAGAACACTTTTTCTGTAGCATAAAGTTTGCAAGCTAATAATAATATCTGTCACCAATAGTTCTTAAAGTGTTAAGCTTTTGCCAACTCTTCTCCATTCATAGTTTCTACACCTTTATTCTCCAATTCCATATTGACATCTTATATCAATTAAATCAAAAACCCAAACAAGCAAAGCCGACAATAATCTCTTTTGTACCACAACCTTTTGTTTTTTCCCTAATTAAAAAATCACAATATTATAATATTACTACCATCAAATTCCCAATGACTTACTCATCAATACATATATATAAGCAAAAGATTTCATCAAAAAGTGAAAGTGTCCAAGAGAAGTGAGAAAACGAAACACACAATAATCTTAACATGGAAGAAGAAAACACCACAATTATCATGACATCACTCTCTACACTCTCTCCTTCACATCTCACAAATATCACTCACTCAATACTCTCTCTCTCCCACCACCATCGCCGTCGTCTCGCCGCCGTCCTCTCCTCTCCGACGCTTTTCTCCATCACTCTCCGCCACCTTCTCTCTCTCTCCCTCCCTCAAAAAACACACCTCATCGCCACTCATCTTCTTTCTCTCCTCCAACCTCTTCTCATCCACCGTAACCACCACTCTCTCTCATACGCCGCCTCCATGAAGCTCCGAGACCTCGACGCGGTGGTCCTCCTCCTCTTTCTTTGCGAGACCCACCAACTCGATCCAGATGTTCTAGAAGCTTCCCCTGATAATTGGCGGGAAATTCTCGGTGATTCGTGCTCTGATACCATGTTAAGTAATTTATCCGGTCTTTGGACTTGCGATGCCGGAATCTTGATGCCTTACATAGAAACCCTAGTTAGATGCAAAAGATTCGTAGACATAATGGGAGGCTACAACCATATTCGTCGACGAGGTGAGAAAGAAGGCTATGAAATCCCCGCGGCTAGAGCAGCCGTGGTGGCGTTACGAGCGGTTGAAGTGTTAAACGCCGCCGCTTCGAACGCCGGAGAAGTAGTAGAATGCGTGATATGCAAGGAAGAAATGAGTCAAGGAAGAGATGTTTGTGAAATGCCATGTCAGCATTTGTTTCATTGGAAATGTATATTGCCATGGCTAAGCAAGAAGAACACGTGTCCTTCTTGTAGGTTTCAACTTCCCACCGACGATGTCTTCTCGGAGATCCAACGGTTATGGGAGATTGTTGTCAAGTCCGGCGAGTTACACGTGGCGTGATCTCAGCTTGCGGTGATGAATTCATACATACATGTGTAAGAAGCGTGTACATCGTTATCTATAGTTGGATATGTCATGTACTGTTACAGATAGGAATGTTTGGACCATTTTGATCTTATAGAATCTAAGTTAGTTTGTTTCTTTTTTTTTGATAATGACATATGTGGTTATAGACTCATGACGACTTCTCTTCTTATGAAATAAATGGATAGTGCGACGAATTGCGTATATTTATTGTATTACAAATTAGGAAATTAAATTGATTTTTGTTTTCATGTACTAGCGTTCGTTTTGTATCCATTGATGAGGTAAAATAAAATAAAGAATGTGGAAAATAGTAACTCGAGAAAGCAAAGTTTCCATTGTGAAAATTTCTCAAGCTATATATCATTAGATATCTCATCTTACTATGAGAAAAATATGAATTTCTTAACACTCCAGCTTCTCCAAATCCCTTAACTGGCTCATGGGCCAAAATTGGGCCTTCTGCAACTAATGCGAATTAAATTATTTTGCTATTCTTTTTTTCTGGGTCTTTGATGGGCCACTCAATACGGATACGGACTGTGCTTAGTATTATATTAGGGTGGTAACGGCCTCAAACTACGTTAATTTTTTTTTATTTTTAAACTAAGTTAATTTTATTCTAGTCTTATAAAAATAGAAATAAAATTCATATTAACTTTGGAGTTCTTTTATGAATTTCACTTAAGATAAGAACATAATTCATAAAATAAATATATAATGAAAAATCTTTTTTTTTCAGAGAATTTTTTTTTTGGATTTCATTGATAGTGTATACATGTAGGAGTAGAGTTTCAAGAGTATTAAGAAACAGGGCAGTCCATTTATTCAGATATCTCTTGATCAAGCTGGCATATCAGAAAACTATACCCTAAACTGAAAAACCTATATCATCTATTTTTGTTAAAACAAATGAAAAATATTAACGTTCAGATTAATCTACAAGTTCATCTAGTGGTGCTTAGACTAGACAACCATAACTACTTTTTAACATGTTTGATTGAGGAATTTTTAATATGGCTAAGCTGAACTGATCTAACATGAAATATCGAACAAAAGAGACTAATTCTG